GCGGTTCATATAGTCGTCACTTCAACCACAAACATCCTATACAATCGTCACAGGGAAAGACTTCCGCATTGAATAGTACCTTGCAATGGCAAGCGAACAACCTGGACACCGGTCGCATCATGCTCAAATCGAAGCTTGTACAATACATTGTACCCTCCCACCTGGCCATACCATCAAAACAGGTAAATAAATATCTTGGATATATTATAGCGTAACTAATATCTCTCCCCCCCCCCAGTATTAGATAATTATCTGCCAAAGTCCAAACACAACATAATGTCAATGCTGCATCTCCATATCCACTCATATCCTCCGATGAGGAAACTCGCACACAGGCACGGCAATATATAAGGTGTCGTGTCCTGGAAGCTTTGGCATTGTTGGTTAAAAACCCCGAACAAATGCTCAAAGACCTCGACGCTACTCGAAGAATCATATCAGGTTTAATTCCACTGGCCATACTCGCAGGCGGAATCTTTGTGCCTAATGATCTTGATATCTACGTTCCCGCTTCTGAAGAAGACACCCTAATGGAACTAATCAAACTGCACTTGGATGCATCACCTCCGCAATTACCGTTGGATCCAGCTACGAGGAAAATATCGCCGTGAACCACGTTCGCCGGCTTGCGAGTGGCCACGGTGGCCACAAAATAAATGTTATGGCATGCACAGGAGAAACAGCAATTCTCCTCGTATTCCATTTCCACTCAACGTTGGTTATGAACTTCATATCCAGCTATGGCCTATTCTGTGCATATCCAGCACTCACACTGGAACATACTGCCATTCCATCTGCCGCATTTTTCGACTCTACCATCGATCACCAGCGCCTCGAGGCATGCCTCATGAAATATACCGCACGCAGATTCACCATCAACACCAACGAACGCTATAATATTCACCGAGCACACCTGTTTCAGAGACTATTCCTGCCCAAGGACCGTCAAGACCTTGTACGACAAGGGTGGTTTATTTTTGCCCCTATCAAACCTCACTAACTGTGAGCATCTCATCTACGATGAATGGCACAGCGCCATCTGGAGCATCGGCGGCCCTGCATGTGGACACTATCAAACCTTTCACGGTCCGATTGTAGAATCCATCTCAATCCAACAGTAAGTGTAACACCTACTGCAGATGTCGCCTTCTCACTATTTCCATCAACAAATAGTAACTGCATCAAACATTAACAGTATTATCTTTTCTGCCGAGACCAACACACCGAAAACATCAGAACCACCACTCACCGCTCTCCTGACTAATACTTTATCTACTATCAGAAAATGTCCATGAATTCTGTAATTATCACAGACTCCTGGAGAAATTTTGACACGCAACGCGATCAAAACTCCACCACATAACACCAAATAAAATACCGTCAGCAACTCACTCGTACTTCTGACCAGCCCTAACAAATTTTGCAAAGACAATGTCTGCCAAGACAAATTTGCCAGGCTCCCAGGAACACATCAACGAAAGATGAGAGCAGAGCGCATGGTAGGTACTACTAAGGTAGGTAGGTAGGTATGCTCCGACGCGGTCCCATCTGGAAACATCCGGTGTCCGTACTACATACATTGCATCAGAATATATGCTATGGGTACCCTCAATCTTCCGCTGATTGATCACCTGAGCTACCCTCCATTTCGGAATTCCTATTCTGAAGACAAGGAAAAAATAAACTTGAGGCTGTCAGAAGAAGGTCCGAGAGAGTCCCCAGGATAGTTAGGTCTCGAACATCGAGTCCGATAATTGGAGACAGTGTCATTATTCTGGTATGAAACAAGTACTCTGGTTTTAAAACATCGCGCGTGGCATAAATTTTTATAAACCTCGAAGTATACTCAGCCAGACATTTAGTAACATTTGAGCAACATCGAAGTTTCGGTACATTGCCAATTTGTGGAGGAAATCCGCTGAGATTCCCGCGCGAGGGAGATTATAGTGAGATTCGGCATCACTTTAGGTGACACAGATCCCGCAAGAATAATAAGGTGCGGAGTTGAGTAAGCTCTGAGTTTCCTCGACAGCAAATAAGAACATAGCTTTCGCCTTCCACGGCCGTATTGCAGAATCGGCCCAATCGTCATTATTCGTGGCGTGTTCCTACGCGGCATCATTCCTCGTATTGAAGAATTTCAATAATACAATGAGCATGTGGCACTGGCAAGATGAGATAAATCAAATATACCCCAACACTAGAACTGGACGCCTGGTATTTGTCTGGAAGCCAAGAATAACAATAGACGCGCTTGTCGGAGGGCAGTGCAACCAAGCGTTTCACTGAAAATAAATCAAACAACGGTGTTTCATCCGATCCCGACATCGGACTCGGTCCGACACAAACATCAATGTTTCGTCTGCTCGGGACCACGGTCGTGGTCCCGAGCAGCCAAGTACGCATCAGGCTTATTTCAACTGCATAAAATGCACTCAACCATTTTAACCAATGCTCATGACCACACATGAAACACGAGCGCCACATGAACCGTGTTTCGGCTGCTCAGGACCGGTGGTCCCGAGCAGCCTTCACTTGATAAAACTTCCCAACCATCATCAAAACCAGCGCAACGGTAATTCGCACGGTTAGGCAAAATTTCTTGTCTTCGCTGGTCCTGAAGGCCTGAAACCTTGCTGTAACCGCTTGCTAAGAACGACTACTAACAAGTTAGGACTCGTAACAGACGCTTCAACAAGGTATCAACTCCTGCCTCGTTCTGCTGAAGTCTGTTAATGATCGCGCGGGTCCGATGCGGCCTTGTTACATAATCTTCGGAGTTTGAAATCTCAGCGCTGTGCCCTCTTTGTGACGATTAAACCCTAAACACTCGTCTAGAGAGCCTGGTGACTCGTTAAATGTGTTCTATGCATCTATGATATTTTTCTGAGGTTGCTATTGGCTCGCTACATACATCTGAAGTTTTGCGATGTGCATGTGGGAGACATCAACTGATGCCATTAGCTTTCGGCGGTTTCCGTGGGCTCAATGTTTTCAGCACTTGTTGGGAGGATTAGCTAAAATCTGAGGGGCCTAAATGTGTCATACATGTCTGAAAGCCTCAATTCTGTAAAAGAATCACATTTTATGAAGTCTGCTTCGTGAAACCGACGCGACGAAGTTTCAAAATCCGATGATTAGTCATAACCTTCCACTTCAATCGGACCCCACTACCAATATCCCGCACGCATTCAGGTAAGATTTATAAATGATTGCTCACCAATCTGTCAAGTAACCCCGTGCCGCCTTTGTCATGACCGAATCGATTCGGCCATGTAGTATTGACGCGTACGCCGGCACTGATTTGTGCTAATCCGTCTGTGTAGGGTGAAGTCAGCGCACTTCTTTGTCAGCCGCAGGGATTGCGTGTTCCCTTTAACCGAGCTGCCGTCGCCATTCTCGAGCATCCGTGGGCTTTCATTCCTCCATCGGGGAACTAACTTGCTTATACTTGTCCCTTGATTGATTGTTGGTCCAACCCGCCGTGGCACTCTGAGCCACTCCCAAAACTATATAAGTCCCATTGTGCTCCCAAAACCACATCGAGAACAAGATGAACTTTTCCGCCACCTTCGATGACTTCGTCCCCGCCAACTTCACTGCATTTCTCGCTTCCGCTAAAATTCAACCCAACTTCGTCTCCTTCGACACACTCAACTCCGTCATCCCGCTCGATGGAGCGGCAAGGGCGTCCTACGAGTACGCACAGAGGATGCTTCCCAAAATTGGCTTCCTCCACGTCGTCCGCACCTACCTTTACGCCCTTGTAATCCTGTTCAATGGATTCCCCTCGGGCACCCCTGGCGTCCCCCAGATCACGTTCCAAGAGCTGAATACACGTCTCTACCATGCGTCTATCCTCCACGACCTCGGATGGACGCCCGGCCCGGACAGTGTTACCCACCCCGCGCGTGCGATGTCGTTCGAGATCTTCGGCGGCATCATGGCATACGACTTCTTGCACGCCACCTCCCCTAGGTTGGACGCGCATCAGGTCGGCGACATCGTGCAGAGCATCATGGTCCATACGAGTGAATTCGGCATGGGGGAGGCCTCAGCCGTCGAGAGTGTCCTTTCCCTTGGAGCGAACTTCGACGTAGCAGGGTTCAATTTTCTTGGAGGAGCGATGGAATCCGTGTTTAATCGCACGACCGTCCAGCAGATCGAGAAGGCATTTCCGCGAAGAAAGCTGGGGACCTACCTGAGGGGTGTATTGGGAAAGGAATTCGACCTTAAACCGAACTGTCTGGCCTCCCACTCTCACGGCGGGGTAAGTGATACCGTAAAGGCTCTCGACGTGGGCTAAAGAAATTAAAATATAGCGCTCTTTTCTCGCCTCCATCCCAGATGGTCCGTTGGCCTAGGTTAAATCGAACACCCGGGAATCGGCCCAGCATGCCAGTTTCTGGTGAGCGAACACTGAACACGGGATATCAATATTTCCCGGTATGAAGCCGGCAAAGATAGAGTTGAAACGAGAGTTTGTTATCGAGTTTCGAGTGAAATAAACTTCCTGCGCAGCTTAATCTGCACCGAGACAACTTGACGAGAGAGATGAGATATCTGATTAATTCCGAACTAAGCTGTTAAATTGATGATTGATCCTTGTAGACTGCGACCTCATTATTTTCTGGTCTCTTGTAGGCTCTGGGCTCAGGAAAAGCAGCCATAGGCAGAACGCGCACAGCGGAAAATCCATCCATTTTATCTGGGATGACAGGAGTGTGCAAGTGAAGCGAGCGTGGGCTTATATTCAGGTTCAAAGGTATGGATAATGGCCCCCGTGGATGCGCCAATTCCGACTCAGGTTATAACTGAAATGTAAAGTGGGAGGTTGGAGTCCCCCCAGGACATGTAGCTGATAATAGCCCTCATGGATGAAATCGTACATTACCCATTCAGTATTCGAAGCAGCTCCAATTTTTTTCTAAAACCTCTTTTCGCTGCTAGCGACTTTCAGAGGGATAGGAGTATATGTAGGTTCAGAGGTACGCGTAATAGCCCTCGTGGATGAATTGGTGCATCACTCGTTCCCAATTCGGGACTGACGATGCAGGAAGCAAATGGGGGGTGGGGGTTGGAGTCCCCCCGAGGGCATGGTGGTTGTGTGCTAGTTCTTTTCCTTCTTGTTTTGTCATTTTTTTTCCGTGTGAATAGATGGGTATATTTAGGTTCAAAGGAATCCTCGTGGATGAATTGGCACTTCGCCCATTGCAATGCCGAGCATCGCGGAATAAATGGGAAGGGGGAGGTGACGTTCGACTCCCCCCAAGTGCATGTCCATTCTTGGCGTATTTTTGCTGCTAGGGACTTTTGGCTTCAAGGGATCATTTTCATCCTAGAAGGCTGTTAAATCAATGCCGGATCACTGTAGGCTGCGACATAGTTCTTGAAGGTCTCTTGAGTCCGCGCCATTTTCGTCACTCCGTTACTTCGCTTAGGTTTGCGAAACTTCGTAACTTTGATGGGAATTCGTGAAGGTTCACGATTTTGATATGTGGGCAGGATGGGGAAGTTAGGAAGTACGTCTTGACTCTTGAGTACGTGAGTCTTCAGAGCAGCGGCCGATTCCGATCAGTGATTGGCGATCAGTCGTCGCCGATCACTGCCGAGCATCCTTCGTGTCCTTCTCTCTCAGCCCTCTATTCTCTCTCTCAGCCCTCTACCACCCAAACTCCTGGGCACTATTATGGCAGGCTCCCTGCCGCCGGAAATCCTAAATGCTATTGTCCATGAAGTGGACGACACCGCGTCGCTACGCAGATGTTCCTTGGTCTCCACGACGTTTCTTTATCCCTCCCAGCAATGCCTTTTTCATTCACTGCATCTTCACCCTGATGATATACAACCTGCACATACTCTCTTCCAAGGTTCCCCGCACCTCGCTATCTATGTCCGCGACGTCAAATTAGACTTGGAAGAGTCATGGACGCAGAACTTGGATTACGCTCTGGTCCCATCCCTCCTTGGTATGCTCTCCAACATAGAGAGCCTCCGGGTTCGCGGCACGAGTGCGAATTTTAGCCTTGCGAATGTACCGCCCCTCACATCTGCCTTGTGTCACGCATTGGCGCTCCCAAGTCTCGAACGGTTCGAACTAGCAGACATCTCCGACGTGCCCCCCTCTCTACTCCTCACCGCCGTCTCCTCAGTCACGCACCTGAAGATCGTTGAGTTATCCTCTCGGGTCCCCAATGCCATTGATGAACATGAAGAAACGTGTACCGTGCGGGAGGGCACACTTCATACGCCGAGGCTCGAAGAACTCGCTCTCACGGGCTCCGACCACCGATATTTGTCGCGCATCGTCGATATGATAACTCATCCCGGATATTTGGATGTTTTGCGGAATTTAAAAATGGCACTCCACTCAGGAAGTCAGATTCAATTCCATCGTGTAATCCACGCGGTCTTTCGCACGCTAGAGCGTCTCGAGATTAAATGCGGAGGTGCGCACCGTCCCCCGCCAGCCCATTACGTGCTCATTACTGATATATATGCGTGATCACAGCGTCCGCTGTCCAGCTCAAACTCTCGCGCCTGGATGTCCTTTCGCACCTTCATCTCAGAGTATACCTCGGGTTTCTTCGCGGCCTCCCCGAGCACTTATATTCTGCTACCGCCGTTTTCCCATCCGCCACCCCCAATGTGGAAGTCATTCAACTCACCTTCCTGCTCTTCAAAGTCCGCGATCGTGACGACGATTGGGCCGACGACGGACTCGGTCCGCTGCCCGGCTTTACCCCCCTTCCGCGCTTGCGGCAGGTTCATTGCCAGTTGATGTGGTTGGACCCTTCCGATGCCACAAACGTGGCGCATACCACTACATACGAGCCTTTTCGCGCAATGATGGACACCAAGCTTGATTTGGCGTCGCACGATCCAGGAATGCTCTTATTCTCCGAAGCAGGTTCCAACCCCGAGTCCGATTAACTGATGCACAGGTTGGATTGCGTCCTCCGTAATAGATACAATCAAGCTACATACTTGGACGCAAGAGGCAAGCGGGAATAAAGTTTTCGACACAGACCTCAAAAAGTTTTGACAGCTGTCAGAGGGGGGGGTTAAGCGACTAAGCGAGCCTCAAAGCAGTAAATCCAGAGAGCAGAGGGGTCATTGGTCAGCAGTTAAGCACCGTCGTCCGGCTCAGCCGAGGATTAATTGATCGCATCACAAATCTTCATGCATGCCTACCATGTAGTAGCGAATGAAAAATAATATTCTGAGTCGACAAATCTTTTCATTCTAGGTGTAAATGGGGAGGTAGGCAAAATATCTAAAGTACATGAACGGAAATGAAAGAGAAATAAAAAGTTTAGGATCGGTATCGAACAAAGTTATCGCCGGGTCCGGCATTCCCGATTTGGCACTGTCAAGGAGGTCGATGTCCGGCCGGGAATTGCCGCTCTCCTCTTGCTTGGACGTTTCCTGGCATCAGAACGAAGACATTTATAAATTATTTATTAAATGTGGCGACCGTGCACAGCTGAGATGTGGAATATGCTCATCCCTTGCCATCCTGGAAGTAGAACCCTTGGGTTCTCGAAGACTGTCCTCGATTCGAATTCAGGTGAGAGGAGACCTAGTCGCACAGCATTAGTTAAATTTCGAGGCACATCTACTCCAGAGACAGTACTACGTTCTGTTGGCGCACAGAGAACGCCGGAGAACAGGGCCGGGACCAAAGAGAGGAGGAAGGCGTAGAAGGTCAGCATTTTGACTTGAGAGATGCATCGAGAAAAGGGGGATTTAGGGCTGCCAGACCTGGGGTCGAGTATTATTACTCGTTCTTAAGTAAATGCCCTGAATCACATCGTTCGTGTTTGTTGCATTGCGGCCGTGTCAGGAGGTGTGTCCTGTGGTATGAGAGACGCAAGAATACGGAATAAAACGGCGTTCCGTCGTTACAAATGGGGGAAAATCTGCGAGCTTGGAAGAGTCGAAAATGTTGCAATGCGGATGTTGACCAAACATGTACAATATGGATATCGTGAAGAGAACGAATAATATTCCGGTCAGCTCCAACTTGGGCAAGAAACGTGTCAGAAATAGTTTGATTCCTCGAGTCTCATCTCATTTTTGGTTAGCCAATAGACTTCGGTGCTACGGCGGAGAATACGGCGGAGTAGGATACGTGGCCACTGGCTGCGCAGGAGTTCCTTCTGTAGCACAGCCTCTGCGCAGGCTGCGCCGGTGCTGGCTTCTTACATGTTTCTACCAGACCTCCAAATATAAGTAGGAGGTTTTTCGATAGGTTCTGAAGCTTGCCGGGTGCTGTGGAGGAGAAAGAAAGTGGAACAACGTTAGACAAGCTTGCCTTTTGAGCAGGCTTGGAGCGCGCTATCATGGGCCCTTATGTCATTCTGAACCAAGCAGCACGTAACAAATGGAGTTGGGCAGAGCTAGAAGATGATTGAGGTTAATGTCTCCGAATATATATGAGAAAAACAGACTGAATTAGTTGGACTCAGAGCGAAGGCTAGAGTGGATGAGAAATCCGCCGCGTCGCGGCGTGAGTGGGCGCACCTACGAGGCAGATGTCCTTTTTGTACGTGCATTAATGAACACACAATGAACTCTCTTTAAAATTCCACAACTCCTGATAAAGAACTATTAAAGATACAGACAGCAATATAAATTAATTTTAAACTAATTAATGCATCCGCCACTGGCACCTCCGTGGCGCTCCGTCAGCGATCTAATTCCTGAGACGGCTGGTTCTCCACCACTGGCCGCAATAATCAACCAGTTCCGGGTATGCAAAGGTGTACGACTTTGCGGATGTAAAATGGTGATGTAGAAAAAAAGCGAGCAATGAACTCTCTTTGCGAAATCCATATCTCCTTATACAGGTATATGACAAAGATAATGGTTCAGCCATTCCAATGACAAAGAATACAACGAACTACAGCTGACTTTTTCATAATGCATTAGCTCATAATGCATTGGTTTTGACCCGTCCAAATGGACCTTTCGCACCGAAATTCCCTCTCATAATGCAAAAATCTCATCATGCGTCGGGTTTGGGGTGTTCCCGATGCCATACTTTATGAAAAAGTCGACTCTAACTATCTTGGGAAGTTCATAACTGCTTCTGGAGGTATCTAAAATAATGGGAATGTAACTATTTAATGCGTCGGCCACCGTGCTTTTATCTGACACTCATTTCTTCGCCGACCAACCCATCTACCAACTTCACCTCCGTTGATCTTGATCATGGTCCGATTCATCACCTTCCTCATACTAACGACCCTGCTCGCTCTGAGTTCGGCCATCCCGACCGACTCCGATTCGGTCGAGTACTCCGAGTACGTGCCTTGAGCACACTATCTGCATCCAGCTACTAATTTCTCTTACCCCACCCACCCTAAATCCCTTCGACGCGTCCCGCAACACACCAAATAATCTTCATGCACATTCCAGTTCGTACCGTTCCGGCGAAAAGTGTAGAAAGGAGGGCGAAATGAAATGTCTCGGGGACACTGCCTTCCTAACCTGCGACCACGGCCGCTTCGTGTTTCGAAACTGTGGGAAAGGGACTGCCTGTAGGCGTCATGTGAGAAATGGAATTTATATTCTTGGTTCTGTACTAACAATGTGGGGTCCAGGGCAAGTCAGTTGTGTGCGATTACCCTCGTCACCGCGAGTATTGATCGACGGTTATTGTTATGGGACACGAACTGAAAATCCAGTACTGTATATATGTAATTGAAACAAGTCTGCTATTCCTCGTGTTATGGATTCGTTACCTCTCTAATATAATCCTCGGAATAACCGATTTTCCTCTGACCTTAGAAGTAAAGACTTAATCACAACTGATACTTAGTAAGTTCTATTTATGTTCTTTCCCGACGTATTTTGTGGTAGAGAAAACTATGCGGGATGGATGTGCTACTAGCAACTTCAGAACTCGCGATCCAACTGTACTGAAATTGTGTATGTCGGAAAAATCCCAAACGGCTGTTCAGGTGTGATAAGGTCATTTCAGGCTTGGTCAGACCGTCAGGATTAGGGGGGGGTATATCAGCCTCAGTAATCATTTATAATAACCTGGTCATAATTGTCAGCCTAACGGACATTATCAGCCTGAAGGACGC